ATTTTTGTGCGATAACATTTTTTTATAACTTGGAAATTAATTGCAAAATCCAGCGAAAGCCACCCATGAATTAAAAATATGCATACATTAAATTGTCTTTAAATTAAGTGGCGGCGGAATAGTTATCGTAGAAATTGTAAAAGGTAAGCTTAAATAATAATACAGTACTTAAATGCAGCGATCAATTTTGAGTTCTTCTGTAGTTTATTTTGCCTATCGCATTTATTCTTCCTTACATAATGTGATGAAATCTCTATCAAGGGCCTTCCGCGGGAGCTAGGTTAAATACACACACACACACACACACACACACACACACACACATATATATATATATATATATATATATATATATATATATATATATATATTATTTTTCCTCACTCTTTAAATAAGATAGCAATATCTCTTGTTTTTTAACCCAGAATATTTTTTTCCATTTCATTTATGATTTGTTTGTAGGTCTTGAAGATTTAGAGCTCTCATGAAATAAATTTTTTTACCTATGGGATTTTAAGCGTTTGATATTCTTTAATTAATAATAATTTTGCTGTCTTTTAACATAGATCTCTCCCTGGAGCTCTTGAAAAATACATTTCAATTGAGCATTGTTGAGTGATAAGCAAATTCTTTAAACAACAGCCACCTGCACTAATGCAAAGCTCTTCAGAAAAATCAATGGAGCACTTTGGCTGATTGGCATTTGTTTACATTCGTAAAAAAATACGCTAGCCGTGTAACTCTGTCGAGTAAAGATAGCTGAGAGGTAGAAGCTCTGACTGACACCAAATTGATTGGGTTTCGATCCTGGCTTGAGGCATTGTGTGTGTGTGTGTGTGTGTGTGTGTGTGTGTGTGTGTGTGTGTGTGTGTGTGTGTGTGTGTGTGTGTGCCTGTGTATGAGTAATTCTGTTTAATTCAGAATTAAAAATAAGTTTATATTCATGTCCTGATTTCTCTCACTATATAAGTATTTCAACTGATAAGCTCATAAATTATTTGTGGGGATAATTTTCTTATGACTTAATAAAATCAAGTGTCATACGTGATACACGATTGGGCGATCATGTCTCTTTCGATTCATGACTGACTAGGCAGAAGATTTTTCCCGCAGTCAGCTGCCGTTTCTTTCTGCGGTAGACCGGCTGCCAACAAGGCCATAGGACACAGTCTGTTCTTCTATTCGCCTCCATATTTGGGAGAAGAGATTGATTCATGCCTTTTCCAAGAGTATTTGCGCGTGTGAATATAACGATCACGGCTGGAATTTGATCTCAGCACTCCGATTTCTGATTTCCGGCCGTTATCCATTACACCACTCGCACATCCAGTTACTTAATAGACAGTAGAAAACCAGTTTCTTTAATTACAACTACTATTGGAACATTCTGCGCAAACATCTTAAAACTTATTGAAAAACAGCTCTCAAAGACTTAATTCTGGATTTTTCATTTTTTTTTTAATCTCTACTGACGAGTTTTTGTTGGAATCAGCGTAAAAGCTTTGATTCTCAAATCTGAATTTTAAGTAATATCTTCTTATTTTTCTCTATGGTAACCGACTCTTCCCATTTCATTATCAGCCGGCACATTCATGTACTTGTAAAATCTACAATGCCGATTTGCTAAGAAAAATTTACCTTGGTGCTTGCCTAGATGAAAGCACGATCGAATATGTTCCGTTTGAATGTCGCTGTTTCTGTTACCTTGTTTTATATTTAGTTATACGAATATTGTAATCTATATGTCACTATAAAAATGAATCTTTACTAACGGTGTGTGTGTGTGTGTGTGTGTGTGTGAGAGAGAGAGAGAGAGAGAGAGAGACTCTCATTCTTTGTTTATAGTATGTGTGTGTCTTTATGTGTCTATATGTGTGTGGCAGGGGTTGGTCCAAATCTCAAACGGAAGCCATGCAAGGTTTTACTCACTTCCGGAAGAGATTCCTCTTGCTTTCGGCATCGTAGATTGTGAATCCGCGTTGCCCGCGGTAAGATTGCTTCTTTTTCCTTTGTTCTCTTTCAATTTCCTTCTTTTACTGTTTTTTCTTTATTTGTTTCTTCTTTTCGGTTTTCCTTCTGGTTTCGCACATTAACTTTCACTTTTTCCAAAACTTCATTTCAGATTCTTTCTTGCTTTCTTTCTTTTTTTTCGTAATTTTATTTCACTGGAGTGGTTTCGCGATTTTCTTTCATTTTTCTTTCTTTCTTTCTTTCTTTCTTTTTCATAATTTTATTTCACTGTACGTGTTTCGTGTTTTTAAATTCATTTTTCTGTCTTTCTTCTCATCTAGTTTCACATTTCTTTTTTTTCTTTTACTTGATTTTTATGCTTTTTCTTACTCGCTTTTTTTTATTCTTTATATATTTTCTTTTTAAACTATCTTTTCCTTCATTTCCTTTTTCATTTCTTCTTTCTTTCTTTTTTGGTCGTTTTTCTGTCTTGCTTTATTCTTTCTTTGTCACATTTGTTCCTTTTCTCATTTTCCTTATCTTTTACTTTTTCCTTTGCAGTCATTTTTCCTTTACCATTCCATTTTCTCTTCGTTCTTTTCAATTTTTTTTTTTTTTTCTACCTCCTTTCATTCTTAATATTCTCCTTGTTCGCTTTCATTCTTCTTTTATTAAAACCTTTTCTCTATCTTATTCTTTTCGATCTCTTCTTCTTTTATTTTACAGATTTCCTATTCTTCTTCTTCATATTGTTTTTATCAGGTATCCTCTCATCAACAGAATCTTTCCCAATTCGTCTAATTCTTCTTCCTCCTATTCTTGTCCTTCTTAGAATTGTTCGTCTTTCCCCATTTTCCCTTGTCTAATTCTTCTTCTTCTTCTTCTTCTTCTTCTTCTTCTTCTTCTTCTTCTTCTTCTTCTTCTTCTACATTATCTTCTTCTTCTTCTTCGACCGTATCTACTTCTTCTCTCTAGTCTAAACTGTTCTGTTCTCATTCATCCCTTTTATCTTCAATGCCTACTTCTTTATCTTCCTATTCTTCCTTGTGACACGCAAACACTGACCGCATGTCAATCATTTCCCATCAATAACATTTTCCTTCCTATTTCTTTTCCGTCTTTTCTTTTCGCTGTTTGTTTCATTTCCAGTTCGTTTCGTTTGATTTCCCGTTCCCACATTTTTATCGACTCTCGCTGCTTTGCTTATTCAATCGCAAAAGGTTTTTCCTTTGTGCCTTTTTTGTGTTGTGTTTTGTTTTTCTTATTTATTGGTACTTACTCCACATCAGTTGCATATCGCGTACATCTTATGTTTCTTTTGGCCAATCTTTCCTTTTGTCGTTCTTAGCGTCGTTTTTATTGTTGTTTTGATATTGGTGGCGGTAGTGATTGGTTTATGCATCATCACTATCATCTTCTGTAATGTTCCGATTTCCTTTTAACTCTCTTTTTATCTCTTTTTTTTTTCTGATCTTACATTGTTGCTTTTTTGTATTCATTTTTTTCTTTTTTATTTCCTTTTTTGTTTTTTTCTCTTATCCTTTAATTTTTTTTCTTTTTTTTTCTTTTTTTCAGATTTTTTTTGGTGTTTTATTTCTTGACCCTTTCCTACATTGTTTCCTTTTTTCTTTCTTTCTTTCTTTCTTTCTTTCTTTCTTTTGTTCGTTCGTTTCAAGTTCTTACCCTGTTCCTTTCATTGTTTCTTGATTTCTTGATTTCTTTCTTTCTTTCTTTCTTTCTTTCTTTCTTCCTTTTGACCCAAATCGTTCCTATTCCTTCCTTCTCCCCATTCTTACCACCCTGAATATCTTTCTTTCTTTCTTTTTCTTTCTTTCTTTCTTTCTTTCTTTCTTTCTTTCCCCCCAAATCGTTCCTATTCCTTCCTTCTCCCCATTCTTACCACCTAGAATATCTTTTTCTTTCTTTCTTTCTTTCTTTTTTCTTTCTTTCTTTCTTTTTTCTTTCTTTCTTTCTTTCTTTCCCAAATCGTTTCCTTTCCTTCCTTCTTTCTCCCTTCATTCTTTGACCACCTTCTTAGAATATCTTTTCTTTTTTCTTTTCTTTCTTTTTCTTTCTTTCTTTCTTTCTTTTTCTTTCTTTTTTCTTTCTTTCCCAAATCGTTCCTATTCTTTCCTTCTCCCATTCTTACCACCTAGAATATCTTTCTTTCTTTTTTCTTTTTTCTTTCTTTTTTCTTTTTCTTTTGTTCGTTCGTTTTGACCCTTTCTTTTTTCTTTCTTTTTCTTTCCCAAATCGTTCCTTTCTTTCTTTCCCAAATCCTTCTCCCCCATTCTTACCACCTAGAATATCTTTTCTTTCTTTCTTTCTTTCTTTCTTTCTTTCTTTCTGTCTCTCTTCTCATCCTACTTCCTTTCTCCCCACAATTCCATATCTTCCATTTCTTTTCTTTTTTTTTTTTTTTTTTTTTTCTTCTTAGTCTCCCTTTTTAAACTTCCATGTTTTCCATAATTCCATTTTTATTCTTGAATTTTTTAGTTCTTTTTTTCTTTTTTTTTCTATTAAATTAACCCTTTTCCTTCAAATTATTTTCTTTCTTTCTGATTCCTTTCTTTCTTTTCTTTCTTTCTTTCTTTCTTTCTTTCTTTCTTTCTTTCTTTCTTTCTTTCTTTCTTCCAAATAAACTCTAATCCTTTATTCTCTTCCATTCTTTCCTTGTAGATTTTTCTTTCTTTCTTTCGTTTTTACTTCATTTCTTTCTTTTTTCTTTTTTTTCTTTTAATATTTCGCTCATCATTTCTATTCATCCGTTCGATTTGTGTTTTTTGCTTCATTCATTATACCAATACTTTTGTGTCATTCGTTCAAAACATTCTATGTTTCTTCTTCATTCGTGCTTTCGTTCAATTTTTCATTTGAATCCTTCACATTGTTTTCTACTTCTCTTTGCTTATCCGTCTCTCGTCCGTATATCTCATTCTTTTTTCAACTCATTTTCTTCCTTTTCTCTCAAAATCGTCCCTTATTTCTTTCTTATTTTGTGCCTTCCATACCTGCTCTTTTTCTCTCTGTCAATTTTCATCTTTTTTTAAAAAAAAATATTTAATAGCTCCAAAAATCTATTACGTAACTTGAATATTTGGTTGCAAAGAAAGATAAGAGGGCTCAGCTGTTATGGAATATCAATCTTCCCATATGGTAAAGAATGCTGGACAATTTCCTCACAGATAAAGATGAGGCCTGAGGGAATAGAAATGCGATTCTTAAAAAAGGTACCAAGAATACTATGGATGGATTGTCTGAGCAATGAGCAAATTTTAACGAAAATGGATAGGAAAAGGCCACTTTTGTATAAGATCGGAAAGAGACAGCTGAAAATTACTTGGCTTATATATAATAAGGAAAGAGAGTTTAGTAAATTTGACACTTATATGGCATATTTAAGGCAGGAGAAGCAGATGGAAATTGCAAGTGAAATACCTAACAACCATGGAGAAATGTTTGACAGAACTAGGGCTGCGATGCAGTCTTATTCTATGAGTCGTGTCCCTTCAGGACGTTTTCAGTCATGGCTCTCCACAATTTCCTGTTCTTTGTTGTTCTTAATAAATTGTCTTTTTTGTTATCTCTCCTAAACTTTGATTCGCCATTCATTTTCTCAAGTTCCCTGTTTACGTATTGCTTTCCTTTTCCCCTCTTGCCTGCCATCTCTCATCATGAGTATCAATTTTTCCAGGTCCACTTTCCTCAGATTGTGCACAAGAATTTTCAGCTATCTCTTCCTGGCGTTAAATATATATGTGCCTTTTTTGTTTCCACCTTCTCTAAAATATCGTCGTTGCTCAGACGTTCATGCCACGGTATTCTCAGCATCCTTCGGTAGAACCGCACTTCGGTGCCGCTTTACTGTGTGTCCTACCGATCAGTTTCTGGTTTAGTGTGCATCTTACCACTACATTTTATCCTACATTATTAAAGCATTGTAAATATATTTTACCGATCAGTTTCTGGTTGAGTGTGCATCTTACCACCACATTTATATCCTAGATTATTAAAGCATTGTAAATATATTTTACCGATCAGTTTCTGGTTTAGTGTGCATCTTACCACCACATTTGTATCCTACATTACTAAAGCGTTGTAAATATATTTTACCAATCAGTTTCTGGTTTAGTGTGCATTTTACCACCACATTTATATCCTAGATTATCAAAGCATTGTAAATATACCGATCAGTTTCTGGTTTAGTGTTCATCTTACCACCAGATTTTTATCCTAGATTATTAAAGCGTTTTAAATATATTTTACCGATCAGTTTCTGGTTTAGTGTTCATCTTACCATCACATTTGTATCCTAAATTATTCAGCTATTTGCCCGACTGTTTTCTCGATAAATTAATACATTCAGAATGTTTTTATTTAAAGGATTCAAATATTTTGTTTTATGAATTTTTAATCAAATTTCTTAATTTATAATTAAAAAACAAATTATAATGCAACAATAAAAGGCATCCCTACTTCCGTTTTTGATTTGACCCTTACGTTAGATAATGTAGGATACAAATGTGGTGGTAGGACACACTGTTCGGTAGGACACACTGTTCGGTAGGACACACACTAAAACAGCACCCCCATTACTCTTGCAACAATTCTCTTCAGCGTCTTTCGCTGTCATATAAAATATAAACTGATATTGCATAAAAGTTTAAATCTCTTTCCTTTGTTTCTAACGGATTTGTAATATTCCTTTACTTTACTTAGCTTCTGGAAGGCATTTTCGCTATCCCAACGTGCCTTCAGATTTCAGTGTCTCCCTTTTCGTCCTCTGTCAAAAGACTTCCCAGATATTGAAATTTTTGTACTTGTTTGATTCGATTTCAGTATCTTTCATATTGTGTCTTCTTACTGTTGATAATTAGTCCATTCTTTTCGCTTTTGCTCATTAATCCTCCTCCTCCTGGGGGGGGGGGTCTAGTAGTCTCCTTTTTATGTTTACTCTCAACACTGTATCATCTATCTGCTTATCTTATTTTGTTAAGCATATGTCCACCAAAAATGAATCCTAAGAGGACGTCTAATTCTCTCAGAATCGCTTCACTGTGTAGGTTGAATAATTTTGATGGGAAGACACACCGTTTTCTTACGCCCCGTTCTGTATATTTTCTGAACTTCTTTTCAATCTGTATGCAGGTGGTTTCCTGCCACGTATACATCAAGGCGGAATAGTTTCATTGATGTGTTAATTACTACGTGATCGTGCTGAATTCTGTGAAAAATTACCTTCATATATTTTTCACTATATCTTAAGTACGTGGATCTTTAACCAAAAATATTTTATTTCTGATGGAGACAATATACCCAATGTAAACTCATTTAAAAAAAAAAAAAACTTTGTGAAATATTTCAATACAAGTTTTAACTTATCAAGTAAATGAACTGTTTCTTAAAGGATGGTAATGGTAATGTTTAATGGTATATCAACTTCTATGGCTTATTTAATGCCGAAATCTAAATATTTTGGACATTACACAATCAGGGTAAAGGCATGTTTTTTAGATATATTTCGTAGATCATAAATTGTATTGTTTGTATTTTTAAAAAATGTATTGCTGGTAATTTCAGTACAAAAAGGTACTGCTGGTAATTCCAGTACAAAAAGGTATTGTTGGTAATTTTTTAAAATAAAGATGTATTTTTATACTTTTTATCGTTGCATTAACTGACATATTGCTATAAAAAATCTATTCTTGATCATTTTAATATACAAATGACCTGTTGATATTTATTTGGGAGTTCACTATTTATCCATAGTTGGGACCCTAACAGGTACTACCACTCCGGATCAGAGTGGACCTTGGAACAACAGCAATTAAGAGGTGATTCCAGTCTCTTCGAAACCTCCAATCTCCCAATCAGAGGAATTGCTACTGAATGTAGTTTATTGTCATCCCCAGGATGAGTTTCTTAAACGAAATCACATGAAAAAAAAAAAAAAGAAAAAAAAGAAAAACGTAAAGACGTTGCTTCAACACCATAAGGAGTTGATATGTCGTAAACCAAACCAAACCAAACCAAACCAAACCAAACCTCTGTATGCCAAATGTCAATAGAAAATTCCACTCAGACATTTTTTTTCGATGGACTGCCATTTTGTGGAAGAGACTACTACGTGAATGCTTCCATGAACAATATTCGTCAAGTGTCAGTTATTATCTGTCCTCATTATCTTCGTAATCTTTCTTTTATTACACCCCATCTTCCATTTAAAATGTATGAAGAAACACGTTTTATAAGGAATAAAACATAAAAAACGGATATGAAATCAAGAAAGATAAAACATCAATACATAACGTTCAGGAAGTTATGAAAATATTGGAGTTCTTAAAAGGAAACACACAGAAGCGTAAAGTAAGAAAATCGCCGAGGGTTCATCGGCGTATATATCAAAACAAATTTGATTAAAAAGAATCGGCAACGTTCGGCTGTTTAATTTTTTATTACATTCTTCCATTTTTGGAATAATCGGTTAAGTATTGTGTTCAGAGTTGTGGATAAACTTTACGAAGTTCATATGTTGTTATTGTTTTGTTCAAATACTTTCGACCATCGCAATGTGGCGTCTGTGTAGTAGTTAAAAAGCTTTTGTCTATATCCTGGTATTTTTTTTTTTTGGAAAACTGAAAATTTGAAACAGTCTACGGTGATGTCAAGTGTGACGGCTATTGGGAACGAGGCCGTACAATATTAAAGCAATATATTTATTTATTTTATAATTTATAGTTATTTATTATTTTATTTTATTATCCTATTCATTTATTTGCATTTTTTCTTTTATATTAACATAATATATGCTCACATAAAATATATCATATGCAACTTACCGTCTCCTTTGCTGAATGCTATTTTATTTAACGTGGGCTGTTTATTTTATATAATGAATTCTAGAAGATTTATTCTCTGTTTACATAAGGAGATGTAGAACATTTTGGTATTATCCCCTAAATATTTTCTTATGTTATGCAGTTGACAAGTCAGTCTGCGGGCTAGTGTGGTCTATGTCTGTCTAATATAAGTATTTAATGCTCTTTTTGTATTATGAATGTTGGATATGCAATCTCCCAGGGAACATGGAAATTAATAGAAAACATTATCTTTAGCACAAAAGAAGATTTCTGAGGTCCTAAGTTCTTGGTAATAGATTAGATGTTTTGAACTACTTAAGTAGACGATATATATATATATATATATATATATATATATATATATATATATATATATATATATATATATATATATAAGATAGTTTTTCTCTTGTCTCTTTTTTATCTATTTATATATTTCCGCAGATATATATATATATATATATATATATATATTCTCAGACAGAGTGTATCTGTAGAAGAGACAAAATGAATAAAAAGAGACAAGAGGAAAACTATACTTAACCGATATATTTAGATATTTTATTAAAATTTAAATTATGTAACGGAGACTTTCTAGTCAGCACCTGAATATTGCGTTGTGCATAAAACTCCGAATCGTGATACAGGTGACGAAAATTATATATATTTATTAATATATATTTAGTAGCTCGGTTATATTACATCAAGCACTATTTTATTAACACAAGCACTCAATGTGCGATACCCATATATATATATATATATATATATATATATATGTGTGTGTGTGTGTGTGTGTGTGTGTGTGTGTGTGAGAGAGAGAGAGAGAGAAAGAGTGAGAGAGAGATGTATAATAATAGTATGCGAAACAAAACAACTGTGGTTTAAAATTCATGGACACAACTCTAAAACGAATGAGAGATATAGTTAGCATCAAACGAGATAGCAACAACAACAGAAGCAGGGATATACAAAGTAGACTGCACAAAATTTCAATTGATTTACGTCAGCGAAACATCCAGAAACATCAAAAAAATATATTCTCCATAACAACACTGTAAAACTAACTACAGATTTGACCTAAAAATGCCAGTCTGATCAGATGAGTACAAGATTCACTTAGAGGGAAATGCATTGAGAGTCCGCAAATCTCGCTGTTCTCAACAGTAAATCTTAGTCCAGGATAAGAC